AGACTTCCCCCGTCCCCTTCAGCCACTCCCATATCCTGGACAAATCAGTAAAAACATTTAGCGTGCAATTGACAAACATTTTTTAAAGCTCCATTGAATCGAATGAAAAAATTGCGCGGAAAAAGTTCGAAGCGAAAAAGAAGAACCGAGGGTGCGGCTGAACAATGAACAAAACGACGTGGAATGGGAAACAGAGTGGAAAAGCGCTGGTGGATTTCAGTTTTTGGCAAGCCGCCTGCAGTTGAGGCCATAAAAACCAAAGGCAGCAGTGGCAGAAGCAGCAAAAAACAACAACAGGGAGCCACATCAAAGGCAACACAAACTAGAAGGGTATACCCACCTGACTTTTCCCCCATGCACCGGTACCGGTGCAAATATGTGTACTAAAGGCCAAACAGTGTTGCCTTTCATCTTCCATGCCTGACAAATGAAGGGAATACGGCAAATAGAGTGTCCTGTAGGGCCAGGATTGCCATAAATATAAAGAAACCCAATAGACTAACCCAGAGGATAGACACACGGTGAGGCTGGGTGCCATTATTTCCCTTGATGGGTTTACAATAGACACCCAGCATAATGGAGACAGCCCAACGTGTGAGCAACATTCCACCGCATTCAGGTGGTTTTTACACCGGTTCCTAAATGTTAGGACACTCGAAGGACAACTAACCGCAAAAGGATTATCTCCAGAGCGTCACTTGGTGTACAGAAGTGGAACTCAGGGAAGATGAGCTATTTAAGGGAGGTCTTTCAGTGAAATAGTTGTACCATTGACACAAATGAAGTATTTTACATGGAAATAACACTGAATCTTAGTTAACAGTGAGAAGTTATTTTAATTAAAAATTTTATAACATACTTGTACGTTTGGATCAGCAAAAAATAGACACACAGCTTTGCTGGTTTCAAAAATGTAACAAAGGGTGATTATCCCGCATTTTGTTTTGTTTTCTAGTGGGTGCTACTCAAACCAAAACCAACAGGTACAACAAAAAGGAAAAGCTTCAAACACAAAAGCCCATGGGATTATAATTGCACTGGTTGTTGTCGTCGGTTTCCGGCGGCTGTTTGTTGTTGCTTTCAGTTTCGTGTTTGTTATGCAACACTTGTTTCAGTGTGCTTTTGATAGGGCCCAAAGGTCAGCTGAGTGGCAACCTGTGGCCAAAAGCCAAAAATGTGTCCCAAAGATTAAGTGCGCCGCCACTGAAATCCGAGTTATACATGTCGTGCCAGTGAGATGGGTGGACTTTAGTGGCTGCTGAGGTGAGTGAGTTTTGTTTATGTTGCACTTTACGCTCATTGCTGCCCCATAAACAAAGGCAGCCATCCAAACCAGGGCGAAGCCATTGCCTGGCCAGGACCAATCCCAAAACAAGGACCTCTGCCCACCCCAAGTGCACTTGACACATGGCAATGCCAAGTGCAAATGTGTGCGTGAGCGAGCCTTTCCTTCCTGGGAGTGTGTTTGGTTTGAGCTGAGTACACATGCAAATTTGCTAGTCATATTTGCATACATACACATGCAGGCCTGATACATACATACACTGAGCGAAAAGTACAAAAAAGCAGAGCAAAGAATCGGACTAGTTGGTTAAAACTATAATTGTGCACTTTACATAAGCCACATTCAGTTCGCCAACACAAGCTGGCTTGAAGCGAACACATTGCTCATACGCCCCGTGAATTTTGGTATAATTTTACAACACGCAGATTTTGCATCACTTTTTCTTTTAGCATTATTTTCTTCAGTGCAAACATGTGTTTCGACCCAGCTTGTATGCATGTTGTACTCGATGTTTATCCCAAAAATTATGCTCCTCGCATGCCTCTCGGCCGTCCTTTAGCCTGCCCCTGCTACTGCCCCCTCTCACTTTGCCATGCCGCCGCCCATGAATTACTTGGTATGCGTTTGTTGGGGCTGCTTGAACCCAAGTGAGCGGCTAAACATTCGGCAAGCTGTTGGCTGCCATGCGAGTCCTTCGTCCCGGCGTATCCTTTACCGCTTTCCTCCTGGCCATATAGTTGTATATTGTGCCGAGCCTTGTTTGGTCTGCTCTGTGGCAACATAATCCAAACACATGAACACCCGCCACGCTTGCCAATTCTCGGCGGCTGTGGCTGCGGCTGCGGCTGCGGCTTCTGTAAACTTTTGATAAACTTTTAATTAATTAAGAGCACTTTGGAAGGCAAACGGCTCTGTTTCTGTGAATTAGGGAAAGCGCTGTGTGTTTAGTGTCCCATATAAAGACCAATAAGTGGAAAACGTTGTAGTTGCAAAATAGTTGTACACTTTGTTGAGTGAATCAGGAGAATCTTCCACGTTTGAAGATTATGAAATCATTTGGAACAGGCACACACTTTGACAATCAGGATAAAGACACAAGGCAATCAACTTTATTATCTGTTTAAGACCGCAAAAGGGCTAACAATATACACACACTTTCTACAAAGACATTTGACACATTCGATTTTTATGAACGCTGAACTTTCTACCAACACTTTAAACTTTAAATTGGCCGCCTGGCTTGCATTTTACGATTTTCAGATTTTTATAACCTGTTGTCACATCATCAGGGACTCAACGAAGAGCTGTGAAGGAAATGCATTTGAGACCCTTGCCTTGAGGGTCCCATAAAATGCATCAATTTTTAATAAAAGCCGCAGCGCACACAGGACACAAACAAGCGCACACACTCAAAGCCACAGGGATACAGTGAAAGGGAGAAAGTAGGGGAAAGCAGACAAATGTGGTCAAGGGACCAAGGACCAGATGATGGCTTCGTCACCTTCCTCTGGGTGTCCTACACCCACAAGCTCATCAGCTACTTTTTACACTAAAAAATAAAGTGAAAGCTAATCAGCTCAAAGCTGAATTTGGCTTACCTTATTTAAAAAATTATATAATATTCTTATGTATTGAAATTAGTAATATTTAAGTTAATCGACGGCCAAGTTAGGGCACTTATGTTCAAAAGACTACAAATTACTGAAAATGACATAGAAAATGTAAATGGCGAATTTGAACTCACACTCTTCTGAGCTTGGAGAACAAAAGAAAGCCAGCAGCTTTCTTTCAAAATTCCCTCAGCTGGCTGCCGGCTGTCATCAAGTGAATTGCAGGCACACAATTGCAGCACATGTGGCTGCCCCATCCCGCCCCTTCTGGGGGCACTTGGAGCCCAGGCAATCTTGCGATTTGTGCCTCCCCGTTGCGGTTTACCGATAACATGCAACTCGCAACGGTTGCACTTACATACACCGACAATAAAAAGCAGACAGCAACAGCACAAATAAATGTCGAACAACAATTTAGAAGTCAACGATGATGTTGTCGGGGAATTTGCACCTGTCGTTCGGTTGGGATTTAATTCCGTGAACAAACAAACAAGCGCAGGTGACACTGAAAACTATTTTGGTATCAGGACAGGAAAAAAAAAATATTAAAGGTTAGCTTCGAACTTAAAAAGTTGGAAGCCCACACAATAATAAATTATTTACTTATATATTTCCATAATGTATTTATTAATTGCTTGTGGCGCATACAAATTCAGAAAAATTATGGGTTGTGTATGATAGTTGGGAGGAGCAATCCCTTTACTCAATTAATTAAAATGATGTTAAATTTATGAATGATTGTTCAAGGTACAAGAAAGTTAATTGTTGGCTGCCATGCCTTTTTATTTAAATGCTTTTAAATTAAATTAAAGAGTTGATTTCATCTGAGGTTAATAAGCGCACATACATAAATTTGCAATGTTGAGTAGACGCTTCTTTATTTTAAATTATAATAATTATATTAGGTTTACTAAGTTAGTTGAAAAACAAGTAGTGTCATATTTCTTTTGACGTTTGACGTTTCATTGCCCACAGAGAATACAAATTTTATACATATCACCCAGGGATTAGTTTTCAAATTTGTGGCAGCTATGCAGAAGCCAAATTTTGATTTATAGCCTTGAAATAAACTGACTTATACGCACAGCGATTTTAATTTGGCTTAACAAATACGAGGACATTCTGATGAAAGTTAATTTAAGCAATAATCCCCACATGTGTTCTGGCTCAGTCAACAATATTTGATGCTTATGGCATACACAAGCAAATCGGCTTAAATTTCTATCTCCTAATTCATACCCATGGGGATCTATTATAGCTGCAGTTTTCCGACTTCCGAGAAGGCAAATATTTTCACCTGATTTTGCATAAATGCTGGCCAGCTTTTCCTTACGCCTAATTCATTTACAGAAAGTGTCGAGTGAGGTCAGAATATTAAAAAGTTGTTGTTTCTTGTTTGCTTGGCGTGTCAAACTGTGAGCAATTTAATTTACATATAAATGTTAATTTCCTTCGCCTTACATGACAAATTTATGGTAACTTCACTTTCGGAAGCCAAATGAGTTGGAGCTTTAGAGGTCAAAAACAGGAAGCAGACGATTTACTTCATACGTCATATTTCTCAAAGGTTTGTTTTTCACAAGCTGTTCAGCAAAGTTTATATTTTTAGTGGGGATTTCTCAGAAAGTCAGTAAAAGTTGTGGCAAAGTCACAAAAGTATCTGTATGTGAGCGACATTACAATTTTGGTACAAACGATTCAAATATGTTAAGACAGAAACAAAATTATTCGCTTAAACGCAAATTCATAAAATAAAGAAACTATACATTGCACATTTATTGACTAACAAAGAACTGCACTTTAATTAAGTTTAAATATGCAATTAAACTTGTTGACTTTACTGAATTTCACATGAATACTTGCATCAATTGTTACAGGAAATCAGATACGCACGTTAGTAAAAAACATAATTGACTAGATTAAGTTAGCCAATGGTTTATGCAAAACTGTAGACCACACAAGCACATTTCAATTAGTAGCGAATCGATTTAGCCAGCAAAATGCGGGTTGCAATTTTACTATTTCCAATATTTAAGCAAGCAGGTCTGAAAATATTCTGAATTAGTCTGAAAATATTTCACGTAATAACAAAATGTATTTTGCAGGACCGCCAAAATGCAAGCCCATAACGAGTTGAGTGCAACAACACGGGAAACCTGATTAAAGTAATTAAATTTGAGCTGGGCAGCGCTTAGCTGGAAATATGTTTACGTGGCTGATGATGGACGTACTCCAATTTGTGAAAGGGGACATGACACCCGATTTAGAAGGAAATACCACAAATTGGTATAATGCGAACGAGAGCTTATATACCACGGAACTGAACCACAGATGGATTGGCGGTAGTGCCACAATCCAGCCAGAGGAGCCCCCATATGGAACCGATTTGCCCACCTATCAACATTGCATAGCCACGCGGAATTCCTTTGCTGACTTGTTCACGGTGGTGCTCTACGGATTTGTTTGCATTATCGGATTATTTGGCAACACACTGGTGATCTACGTGGTGCTGCGCTTTTCCAAAATGCAAACCGTCACGAACATATACATCCTGAATCTGGCGGTGGCAGATGAGTGTTTCCTGATTGGAATACCCTTTCTGCTGTACACAATGCGCATTTGCAGCTGGCGATTCGGGGAGTTCATGTGCAAAGCCTACATGGTGAGCACTTCCATCACCTCGTTCACCTCGTCCATTTTCCTGCTCATCATGTCTGCAGATCGGTATATAGCGGTGTGCCATCCGATTTCCTCGCCCCGATATCGAACTCTGCATATAGCCAAGGTGGTCTCCGCGATTGCCTGGTCGACTTCAGCGGTCCTTATGCTGCCCGTGATGCTTTATGCCAGCACTGTGGAGCAGGAGGACGGAATCAACTACTCCTGCAACATAATGTGGCCAGATGCGTACAAGAAGCACTCGGGCACCACCTTCATACTCTACACATTTTTCCTGGGATTCGCCACACCACTGTGCTTTATCCTGAGTTTTTACTACTTGGTCATAAGGAAGCTGCGATCGGTGGGCCCAAAACCAGGCAGCAAGTCCAAGGAGAAGAGGCGGGCTCACAGGAAGGTTACCCGACTGGTTCTGACGGTAATTATGGCGACTTGATCACAAAATTCTTGTACAAACTCCACTTTCTGTTCAATGCACAGGTGATAAGTGTATACATCCTCTGTTGGCTGCCTCACTGGATTTCGCAGGTAAATAGTTGTAGCTGACTTGAATGTGTGTTCGATTTTCATTTTCGCACTACTGGAACTCTAAGGTGGCCCTGATTCACTCGAATCCCGCTCAGAGGGACCTATCCCGACTGGAAATACTCATCTTCCTGCTTTTGGGGGCACTGGTGTACTCGAACTCGGCGGTGAATCCCATACTGTATGCCTTTCTGAGTGAGAACTTCCGCAAGAGCTTCTTCAAGGCCTTCACCTGTATGAATAAGCAGGACATCAACGCTCAGCTGCAGCTGGAACCCAGTGTATTCACCAAACAGGGCAGTAAAAAGCGGGGCGGATCCAAGCGCCTGCTGACCAGCAATGCGCAGATTCCCCCACTGCTGCCATTGAATGGTGGTAACAACAATTCATCGACCACCACATCCTCGACCACGACAGCGGAAAAAACCGGTACCACGGGCCCTCAAAATTCATGCAGCTCCAACGGCAAAGTGACAGCTCCGCCGGAGAATTTGATTATATGTTTGAGTGAGCAGCAGGAAGCCTTTTGCACCACCGCCAGAAGAGGATCCGGTGCAGTGCAGCAAACAGATTTGTAACCCAGCTTGAGTAGGAACTTGCTTTAAATATACGATAAGGAGGATACGTTAAACACACAGTATATAGGGCATTTAAGTTATTTTGTAACCCTTTCTCATCCAAACAAATGAAGAACTTAAGACTAAGCAGTATTATATGTCTACGGAATACAAATTGAATATGAATTCAACCAAGATTTGAAAGCAAGTCTGTACAACCGCACATCGATGTATTAGCAATATTTGAAAGTGGACGGAGCTCAAATGGATTACATTTCCTTATTGAAATCGATTTGTTGCAAAAACATCCATAAAGACGGCTTGACGTTTAGTAATATATTAACAATATGAATAATTTATATTAACTGTTAAATTATTATATGTACCACACAATATTTAAAAAAATATTTTACTGCCAATATACCATCTAAAATAAGATATATTTAAGTCCCCATTCTCTCACTAAATAAATAAAGATACAGAATACTATCGAAATCTTAAAAGCCATTCTTGTTCTTAGTCCTTACCCTCTCCACTACATTTTATAATTAACCAATTAAGTAATTGCGCTGGTTTGTGCAATTAAAATCGCAAAAAGACGGGATTGTATGAAATAAGCAGCTTAGCCAGCGGTAAATCAGCCCGCCAAGATGCTAGTCAAATTTGAAGTAAGGTACTTTTCTACGAGGAAAGACGCGGAAAGCAGCAGTTTTAATTGAAAATGTAGTAAACTAAAGTGGAGACAATTTTAAATTATTATTCAAGCTTTTAATTGTAAATAGTATATAAAACACGAAAACTGATTAAATCTGAATGAAATCTAAAAATATAAGACTGTTTGTTTGACAAACAGTATCTCATGGAATAAGCTGAATATTCTGTAACCTAGGCTAAGTATTCAAATAATACATCTATGGTAAATGTGCTTAAAAATGGTCAATAAAGCAATGTTTGTATAAAATATTTGTGTGTACTGACAGGTTAATGGAAAAAGACGGAGTTTGACAACTGAATAAAATACACAAACTTCGTTTCTAAAATGTTGGACGTTTTTACTGTTTGGCTGGTGAAATGCAAGTGGATTGCAGCATATTTTTTAATCAGAAATTTCAATGGATTTTTGCACGGGTCCTCCCATTCACATTTTAAGTTGAAAGGATCTACGACATGACAACTTAGTTTTCCACCATTCATTTGTCAGCGAACAAACCAAGAATCTTTGTGAGCCTCAGGAGTATTTTTTCGTGCTGCCGTTGTTGCTGATTTATTTGGATGCGATTGAACTGAAGTCGAGTTAAGAGCTTTTAAGCCAGCGCACTTTGGAGAACAACCTGCCAATATATTGTACTCTGCTCGCTGCAGCGCCATTAAATCAAGTTTAGGAACTTGGCTTTCTGCCACTTTCCCGGCTTGCTTTTCCCCATTGATTTATGCGTTTCAGCGCGCCGGCATAAAGAGTTGGGTCGGAATGGTTTCTGAAATATCCGTAGGGCTGGGATGCCGTACCTGCAGAATGCAGGCGAAAGGTGAGGAGTGCAAATGTTAACTCAAATATGGAAAAGCAATTCATTGAAAGGAAAAAATAAATAAATGGCAAGAACGTTTGAGCTTTGAGCTGTTTGTTGGGGGATTTGGGCAAGCCATGAGATGGGGAAAACGAATCGACTGCTTAGCAACTTTTCGAGTGCAAATTTGTGAGAATTTTCCGTGTTTGCCATGCTTGGTTTATTTTACTTTCCTCCTTGGCATCTGTATCATTATTACTGCTGTCTTCGCAAAGCCTCGCCTTCGTTGGCCTTTAAATCCCTGACTTTCCGCTGGGATTTCACTTCGTTTACTTTTCCACAGAATGTTGTGTCACTTAAAGTCAAGCCATTTGAGTTATGTGCTAAAAAGGGGTGAACTGCATGCGGCAGAAATTTGGTTTAATTAGTTGATTAGTTTGCGTGTCTTGAGCGCCTGGCCATCGCAATCCTGCGGTTAGCCCAAATTCAATTGAAGTATAATTGTGGAAATTGCGGTTTGCAGTTAACTCTTTGATTATGGACCAGTCCTGGTTTTCCATTGATCGATGTAACCGAACAAACCAATACGAACCTCTCCAAGGATGTCAGTGTCAGGGGCAAGAGCCTCGAAATCAAAGTCAGACAGGGCCAAGAGGGAGCCATCGTGGGCATTGGAGTTTACATTGGATATCGCTGGTCAAAACGGCTGGAACTCCGCAATAGCATGCAATCTGAAACGTGAGCTTTTAAAAATCTCAGTTAACAGCACTGAAGAAAATGCCTCAATTATATTAGATTTCATATGTTCAGAATTCTTTCTATTTTCCTTTTTATATTCCAAAGTATTTAGGGCCTATTTTCCATAATCTGAATTTTAATAAAACACTATGAATATTAAAGCCCCTTTTTCCTTCAGTGTTGTGCTCTGGGAAAAATCCTTACAAAGTGCAAAACGTGACCCAGAAAGTAGTGCGAGCCTTTCTCGCAGGATCTGTTGCATTTTCGGCTGGATGAGCTTTGTCTGGCCAGCTGGCTGCTTCCGGCCATCGAATGCAACTCCAACTGGGAATGGTCCACTTTGGCCGCCCACCTCCGCCCACGACTCCTGTGTCTGCACTTACCATTTCATTATTGCCGTGATTGGATTACGCCGTAAATGCATTTCGCTGTTGTTGTCGGCACTGGCCGTATACAGAATTATCCTTAAGGTCCTCGCCCGGGCAAATGGTCCTCCTCAGGGCAACTGGTTCGATAGCAGTATCGAAAATTCTCTGGAGGATGTTGGTGGTAAGTGGAGTGACCCAATGAAAGCATTCAGCTCCGGCTTTAACATAGTTGTAGAACATTTGGTATATAGCATTTGCCATTCATTAAACCAAGTAATTATAAAGTCGAATAATGACGAATGTTACAGCTTACCCTATATCTTTTTAATAAATAATAAACAAGCCAGCATTCAGAATACTTCCATGACTTTTCTGCAATTTAATTATTCATTTTCTGACATACCAAAGTTAGGCCAATTCAGAATACACCTGGGAAGACTTCACAACAAATCCCAATTGCAGAATTACTGCTAGTTGTCTTAATGTTTTTCCACGTGCGAAAACTGTTTCTGAAACATTTGGCTGACCTTGGCAACCTTTTGATATGTACAACCATTAAAAACTTTTGAAACTCCACCCAAGGGAAACCACAGTATCAACGAAAACTACGAATGCATTTAATATCGACGTAGAAAATAGGAAACCAACATTATTGCGCAATTATTTAACCACCAATCTGCCCATAACCGTGGAATCCAAATTGTGTTCAGGTTTTTTATGAAATTCTTTCGCCGGATGCCTTCTTGCTGCTTTTACTGGTAAGACAACAATGTTTTCGCATTTAAGTCGGCAAATTGAACGAAACATGGAAATTATTTGTAAGGGAAGTGGAATGACAATAAGGAAATTTGTTGACGCAATGAAATGTCAAGACAAAAAATACACCAAACAACAGCTAATGCAAACTTATTTTGTGGACCTATTAATTGCCCTTACTAAACTTATAAGGAGTAAATAAACAATTAATTCCAATTGTATTATCTTAATATCTATGCTTTTATTCAATGAATGAATTGTTCTTCGTTTCAGAATGTTCTTCATTTTGCATTCAAAGGAAAAAGTTTTTTTTCTTCGGAACTATTGTAGCACACTTAGAAAGGGTATAAAACGAGTGGAACTTGAAGGAAATGGCTTCAAACGGAAATGTTTTGTTATGACTCCCTTCCCAAGTTATGACTCCTCAAGTTATGACTCCTCTATCCAGTGAAATGCAAATTTCCATTTAACTTGGCCGCTCCAAAGACGCCGGCTAACAACTTCGAGACACTCTGGAGATTCTCAGCTTCTGAGGTTGCCATTCTCCGTGCAATTACAGGATGATTGCACGACCAAGAACCAAGGCAATGGTGATGGCGACGCCGACTAACTAAAACTTGTGTAATTGATATGTGTGGTAGGAACTTTCTAATGGAACTCCTGCAACGCGGAGGCAAGCCAGTCCCAGTGGACAGTGTCGAAAAGTTTGTGGTCTCCGGAAAATTGGGGTCGTGCTCCACACGTGGTGCAAGATTGAAGAGTGAAGTTCGACACAATTTGCCCACTAGATTGTAATTGGTTTTGCGGTGGATGCCATGCCTGCAGATGAAACCTGAAACACGCAAAATGAGTTGGCAATTTCAAAAATGCAATTTAAAGCCAACTAATCGGTTATTCGAGAAATTTAGAAAGGATGCGCTCAATTAAACAAAATATACATTTTAAAATAGATTTCAGTGAAGTTATTTACTTAATTTATCAATTGAACTGAAAGAGTCACTGATGCTTAAAGTAAACTGTATTTTTACATCGATTAAAGCCAAACCCTTGTAAATATTAAACCTCTAACTAAAAAGGGGGAAGTTAGCGTAACACTTTAATTGAAATCTGCTACTGAAAAGATCAGATTAATTTTAATATGTGCTTAAGCCAAATGGGCTTATGCAATTCTAAAAATTCGTATACATGTAAATCCAGTGCTTATAAACATTGTTTTTTTTTTAATTTTTTTTAGGTCTCCTAAGAACTTTTTTATCAGTCAAAAGTCTTCAAGGTAAGTTGTAGTGCAAAGCTGCAAGTGCTCAGGCATCGTTTTAATGGCTCCGAAACTCCGGTGACCTTTGACACGGGAATGCATCCGTCAAGCCCCCGCGCTGTAGCTCCCCACCCCGCCCATCCTTTAATCAACCGCCATAATTTTGAATGACATCCCCTCGCATGGAAAATGCACGCTCGTCGCCGTCACACAGGTCCCCCGAAACATTTAAATGCCATTTCAATTACGCGCTCTATCCCAACAGGACCTTTGCCCCCGAAAAACCCCCGAGCCTCTTAACCCTCTATTATTCGTGGGGCCAAAAGCTTCCGCTTCGTTAGTGCAACGTTTACGCACAAATTAACACGCTGGCAACTGGAACTTTTTGCCATCCAGGACGACTGCGAAACACAAACGACAAAGGGCTGCAAAACACACAGAGCGACTGAAGAGCTGCTGGATAAAAACAAAAAACATCATTTCAATTTTAATGAGCAGCAGCACAGCAGGAAATTATTCGGAAAAATTGCGTAAAATAAAAATGCATTTCTATTATATCTTGGAATGCAGCTAAGGCAGCAGACATTCCCCGGTGAATGGATTTCCACATCACGTTGCATATGTGCCAGAGTCACTGGAATGCATTTGCATTAAAAACAGGAATCCTAAGTGCACGCTGATGCCAGTGGCATAAAAAATAACCAGGAAACGTGCAGCAAATTGCAGCAGGAGTTGCGCACCGCTTCGGTTG